TAAGTAAGGCACGTTCCTTCTTGAAGGGTCATTGGGCCCTTTGGGCTATCGCGCTCAAAGGATGCAGGTTGATACTTCGAGGAGAGTCGTATAAACGGGCCCATAAGTCATCTTGACCACCCCTAGACCCTCAACCCTAAACCTTAAACCCTAAACCCTAAACCCTAAACCCTAACCGCAAACACCAACCCCCCCCCCATGTGCGGCTTGCACCGAACCCCTCAGCCCCAGAACAGGAAAAACAAGAACACCCTTTTGGCTCAGGAACTCTGAATCCTGAGGCCAAGTCTTCGTCCGGCTATACACTTGCGCTTCAGCCCCACCCCCCTCCTATCCCTAAATCCTAAAACCCTAAACCCTAAACCCTATACCCTAAAACCCTAAACCCTAAACACAAAAACACTGAATTCATGGAACCCTGGAACACTTGGGCCAGGGTTCCAGGGTGGCGGGGGTTTAGGGTTTAGGGTTTAGGGTTTAGGGTTTAGGGTTGAGGCTGAAGGTTTAGGGAAGCTTCCCCCCTACAGCACACTCCGGAGAGTTGGAACATGGCCTCAGGATGACTAGAGCTGGGATTCCCTTTAGTATACCTTTTGCGTTGTGAGGATCAGGATGTTCCAATTTTTCGGAGTTTACTGTGAACCCCTAAAGACTAAACCCAGAACTTAGGACTGTGGGTGTAAGATGCCCTCCATCCCATCCTTCAGCTGCTTTGGGTTTACCTTAGCCTTCATTTCGCAGAGTCGTCAGCCAGTTTTTTGAAGAGACCGCTGCTAGAACCAAAATCAGGTGCCCAAAACCAAGGAACTACTCTCGGAGGTCGAGGTAGGCTGGTCATCTGAGTTGAGGGTTTAGAGCACCTAGACCCTAAACCCTAAACCCTAAGCCTCAATCCTAAACCCAAAACCCTAAACCCTGAATCCTAAACCCTAAACCCTAAACTGGAGTTTAGGCTTCAGGGCTTGTGATCTCAGACGGGCACATGGGTGGGAGTCGCCGGGTTCGATGGTACGGCCTCGGCTTGCTGGAGTCTGGGAACTTTTCTGGGGAGTTTAGGGTTTAGGGTTTAGGGTTTAGGGTTTAGGGTTTAGGGTTTAGGGTTTAGGGTTTAGGCTTTAGGGTTTAGGCTTTAGGGTTTAGGGTTTGGGGTTTAGGGCTAAGGGGTTTAGGGTTTAGGGGATGGGCTTCTCAGGGCGACCTGTGGCTCCACATTCTCAAACCACGCGTGCCCACGGATCTCAGGAATCAGGATCTCCATATCTATTGTTTGCTTAAGAACCCCAAAAGAATAAAAAACAAACATCCCTATATAAACCTTAATAAGGAAGAGTGTTTTTGTTTTTTCTGGGTTCTTAAGCAATTAGTAGATATGGGTGGTCCTTTGTGTAAGACATAGCTTCATGGCCTAGGGCTACTGGACCCTATCAATGGCTGCATCGCGATGAAGCCATGAAACCCTGAAACCCTCAACCCTTGACCCCGAAGTGCATGTCGTAAACCCAAGGTTGCTACCCCGTTCTAGAAACAACACCATTGCCACCATAAGTAGATCACAGCAATTAACCCCTGAGCATCAACCCTATTCTCGAGATTGCAACTACAAGGGGAAACATCCTTAATGCTCAAGCCAAACACAAAAATGGAAAGTCCGCAACCTGAAAACACACAAGCCCTAAACCCTGCCTCTGAAACCCTAAATCCCGAAACCCTCATGCCCTAAAAGCTCAAAACACTATACCCCCCTTGGCCAAAAAAAGAAGCACATTTATATAAATAAATAGTTATATATATACATATGTATATAAACACATATATTTTTAATATACTACTACTACTACTACTACTACTACTACTACTACTACTACTACTACTACTACTACTACTACTACTACTACTACTACTACTACTACTACTACTACTACTTCTACTACTACTACTACTACTACTACTACTACTACTACTACTACTACTACTACTACTACTACTACTACTACTACGACGACGACGACTACGACTACGACTACGACTACGACTACGACTACGACTACGACTACGACTACGACTACGACTACTACGACGACGACGACGACGACTACTACTACTACTACTACTACTACTACTACTACGACTACTACTACGACGACGACGACGATGACTACGACTACGAATGACAACAAAAATAGCAATCATAACAATAGTAGCAATAATAACACTAACAAGAAGAAAAATGAAAAAACAAATGAATAAACAAAGAAATGAACAAATAAAGGTGAAAATAAACCCAAAGGAACTAGAAGAGTGGTGGCAGCCTCCGAGCCTCTGGCCGGGTAGATGCCGCTTCCATACATATCGGCGTTGGGGTCCTGTGCGGGTCTGGGGGCGTGAGGGTTTAGGGTTTAAGGGCTTGGGGGGTTTTAGGGCGTGAGGATATTAAGGTTTAAGGGCTTAAGGGCTTAGGGCGTGAGGGTTTAAGGTTTAAGGTCTTAAGGGTTTAGGGCTTGAGGGTCTAGGGTTTAAGGGCTTAGGGGTCTAGGGCTTGAGGGTTTAGGGTTTACGGGCTTAGGGGTTCGGGGCGTGAGGGTCTTAAGGTTTAAGGGCTTAGGGGTTTAGGCCGTGAGGGTTTTAAGGTCTAAGGGCTTAGGGGTCTAGGGCGTGAGGGTTTAAGGCTCATGGCTTGGGCTGAGTGTTAAGGGGCTTGGGGTTCAGGGCTTTGTGGTTAGGGTTTTAGGGCTTTCAGGTCTTCAAATCTGGGCGCTGAGAGGTTCAGTGCCTAGCCTGCTTGTGATTTCGGCTTGAGCGGTTACGATTTAGGGTTCAGTAGTGTCTCGACATCCCACACTACTCCGGAGCCCTGCTGAGACGGAATTCTTTCCCAAAGCCCTCAACCCGAATCCCCTCAATCCCGAACCCAGCATCCAAACATCCGAAACCAAAACCCAAGATGTCCAAAACCCCAACCTTTTGCGACACTTCCCAGAAGAGCCTAATACCCCTTAATTAAGGTGGGTTTAGGGTTTAGGGTTTAGGGATTAGGGTTTGTGGTTTAGGGTTTAGGGTTTAGGGTTTTGGGTTTAGGGTTTTGGGTTTAGGGTTATGCACCTTGGATCATATGAAGGATCCCTGCATCAACTAGGGTATATTCCTTTAAAGAAGGGGCATTGGCCGTTCTTTGGGCAAGCCCGAATCCCTGAAACTCTCCAGATGCCAGCCGAATCTCAGTCCCTGCAATGTCCCCTAAACCCTAAACCCCAAACCCCTCTTTGCGCACCCCCAAAACTTACAACGCCCTCAACCCCTGGATCTTAAAACCCTGAGCTCTGCACCCCCACCCCCCCCCCCCCAAAAAAAAAAAAATAAAAAAAAAAATATATATATATATATACATATATATACATAATATATATATATATATATATACATACAATAACATGCTATTTAAAAAGAAACAGGGACCCTACAGCCTGCAAGTCCTGCCATGCCCAAACAGCTTGGGCGGGGGGGGGGGGGGGGGGGACTTGTGTTAATCTTAGGGAGCTACTGCCTTAATCGTACCCCTAAGTGGTTTTAAGACCCAAACTCATACAACATGCTTCGATTTTCGTATCTGTAGTGAAGGGAAGTGGGAGAGGATGGTTCAGCACTCGGGCAAAGTGAATGAACGACTTCTTGCTTAGGCTCAGAGTTGGGCGACTGCCATTTCTTTTCTTGTTGTGTAGGGAGCTAGCCCTACTACCCCAAACCCTAAACCCTAAACACCCTAACACCCTAAAGGTTCTTCAGCAGCGCCTTCAATCCGAACTTCCGAACTCCGTCGTGCCAAGGCTCTCAGATCACATGGCATCGGCCCGCCGTTCGCCCAGAGCCGGCGCATGACAATGGCGCCATGGGGAGGCTGCTGGGTTCAGGTTGTGTTGAAGGGTGCAAGGAGTTGTTGGGCTTAGGGCTTAGGAGGCTTCTGGGGCTTTAGGGGGGCCCTTAAGGATCTGGGGTTTTGGGGAGTTTTTGGGGTGGAGGCTCAGGAGTGTAGGTTCCGAAGGGGTGAGGACGGCTTCCTGTAAGGGGAGGTTGCTGCACCAAAACCTGAAAATTCTCAGTCTTCTTCCCAACATGAGTCATGGAGTAGTTCGACGCGTCACTGTCAATGGCTGCGGCGAAGTCCCTACATTACGTTCCATGCGCTCTGGGGCTGATATCATTGCGCTCTGAGGCTGTTGGCTCACTAACCCTAAACCCCCAAACCCTCAACCCCGAACCCCGAGCCCTAAACCCTAGACCCTAAACCCTAAACCCTAGCTTGGACTTCGGGACTCGAGGGTTTGAGAGGGCTTCGAGGTTGGCTTTGGAGGCTTCAGCACTCATACCGCCCCAAGATCAATCGAGTACACGTGGCTCCGAGCCTCAACCACCTCGCAAGCAGCTAGGATGGCTCTTCAGACCCTCTGAGGTTTAGGGTTTAGGGTTCAGGGTTTTAAGGTTTAGGGTTTAGGGTTTAGGGTTATCATCCTCTTAAACCCAATGAGGAAAAACCTAAAATGCCCTCGAGGCCTACCTGGGCTTAATTATAAGGTACCAGCGGGTACTTCTTGTTTGGGGGCGTGCCTGAAGGAGACGAGGGCTTGGGATTTGTTGATGCCTGGGCCCCGAATGTTCTTTGAAACATGGAGGGCGCGCCGCGAAAATTGGTAGGCTCTCCTACCCACTCCTACTCGAGGTGGTGAGACACATGTACCTGAGCCCTCAAATCCAACCCTAAACCCTAAACCCTGAACCCTAAACCCTAAACCCTAAACCCTAAACCCCGAACCACCCAGGTCCAAGGGCTGGCGGCTGGTGTTTGCAGACGCCCGTGCAACCCATCAACCGCAAGCATCTGAAAGCATAAACTCCTCAATCCCTAAAGCCCCTCAAGCCCTGGACCCTCCTAAGCCCCTAAACCCTAAACCCTAAACCCTAAACCCTAAAACCCTAAACCCTAAACCCCAAACCCCCAAGGGCTTGGTTTATGACTCAGAGTTGAACCAGCGCCTGTACGCCCGCGCCCGTGGATGGTTCCTGGGCCCAAAATGATTTCAAGTCCCACAGAAGGGTTTAGGCTTTTGGGGTTTATGGTGTAGTAGGGTTTAGGGGTGTGGGGTTTAGGGTGTAGGGGTTTAGGGGGTTAGGGGTTTAGGGGTTTAGGGGTTTAGGGGTTTAGGGGTTTAGGGGTTTAGGGGTTTAGGGGTTTAGGGGTTTAGGGGTTTAGGGGTTTAGGGGTTTAGGGGTTTACGGGTTTACGGGTTTAGGGGTTTAGGGTGTAGTAGGGTTTAGGGTGTAGTAGGGCTTAGGGTGTAGTACGGTGTAGTAGGGTGTAGGGTGTAGTAGGGTTTAGGGGTGTAGGGGTCTAGGGGTTTAAGGTTTAGGGGTTTAGGGGTTTAAGGGCTTCGGGGTTTTAAGGGCTTCGGGGTTTAGGTGCTTGGGGGGGAGGGGAGGCGGGGGGTGATGTAGGGTTGAGGTTTAGATTCACGGTTTCGAGTTTTAGGCTTGCTGAGGGTGGAAGGCTGGGGGCTTAGGTGAGGAGGTCATTGCAGATTCTTCCTATTTAAGGGTAATATGGGGATTCTTGTTTTCTTTTGGGGTCCTTAAGCAAACAGCAGGTGAGGAGGTTGCGGTTTAAGCAACACAAGTGTCGGGTAGGTGTAGGCCTTGAGGGTTCAAGTGGCCCTCAACCCTAGGCCTGAGCGCTTGGGCCACGGGCCTGTCGATGCTTCTCGGGCTCAATATCAGGGCAACCAGCCAGTCACCTTTCCTTTACAACAGCCTTGTGGATAATTGAGGTCTTGAGGGTTCGGGATTTTGCTTAGGCTTTAGGGTTCAGGGTTTATATCGGTGTCTAGGGTTGCAGGCTTACCCTAAACCCTAAACCCTAAACCCTAAACCCTAAACCCTAAACCCTAAACCCTAAACCCTAAACCCTAAACCCTAAACAGCAGCTTCAGCTCCACAGCTTCGTCTGGCTAGAACAAGGCTCCAAGCAACATCAGTGCCACTTGATCGGACCCTCGTGCGGACGACCAGCTCACCAACCCTCAACCCTAAGCCCTAAACTTAAGGGGTATCATGAGGGACCCTTCATCTGATTCCAATATATAACCCATATATATATATACACATAATTACATATAATTAAATATAATTATATGTAATTACATATAGCTTGTAAATAATTAAATATAGTTCTAAATAATTATATAATTGTATAAACATATATAATTATATATAATCCAATATGATTATACATAACTATATATATATATAATTATATATACCTTGCAAAGTCCCTATATACGTAAGTAGCCCCTAAAGGAGCCCCAAAGAACCCCCAAAGGTCCCTTATAAGGGTCCCTCCTTTAGTTCCTTCATAAACCAAGAACAACTCCCTAAACCCTAACCCCTAAACCCTAAACCCTAAACCCTAAACCCTAAAACCCTAAACCCTAAACCCTAAACCCTAAACCCTAAACCCTCTCCTGGGATTTTGACCCTAAACCCTGAAGCCACACCCTCCGATTTCTCCCAGCTGCTCCCCTTCGTAACCGGAGCGGAACTCGCCGACCTCTCTTGGGGGTTTAGGGTTTAGGGTTTAGGGTTTCGGGTTTTGGTTTAGGGTTTCGGGTTTAGGGTTTAGGGTTGAAGGGGTACTATAGGGTACCTCATTCCCTCATTCCCTACCAACCCACAGCAAGGCAAAGGGCCGTTGCAAGCCGCAACCTCCACCCTATGCTTGCTCATCCTTCGTAGAGCCCCCCCCCCCCCCCCCCCCCCCCCCCCCCCCCCCCCCCCCCCCCCCCCCCCCCCCCCCCCCAAAAAAAAAAAGAAGAGGACCATTGGCATGGCCCGCTTGCACCACCAAAATGTACAAATCCCCCTGCTTCGCTTTGGAGTTTGGAGAGTTACCCTAAACCCTAAACCCTGAATCCTAGAATCCTAGACCCTAAACTTTTAGGGACCCTAAGGCCCCAAACACTACACCCTGGACTGTGGGGGCTTCAGGGTTCGCAACGCAGAAGGCCAGCGGCTCATGGGTTTGGTAGGGTTCAGGGTTTAGGGTTTAGGGTTTAGGGTTTAGGGTTTAGGGTTTAGGGTTTAGGGTTTAGGGTTTAGGGTTTAGGGTTTAGGGTTTAGGGTTTAGGGTTTTATGACTTGCTCCCCATGTGAGAATTTCCACGTTTCCTTCCCCGTGCCGAACGATCGTGAAACCCTTATCGATCATGCCCCCAACATTCCGCTAACCAAAAAACCTAAGCCCCAAAATCCCCTCCTAAACCCTAAGCCCTGAACCTTTTACCCTAAACCACTCTAAGCACATTCCCAAATCCGACGACCCCCCCTTCCGGCGCGCCTCATAGTCGAAGTCGAAGATGCCCTCGCGGTTGAGGTAGAGCTTCCCGCCGTGCTTCCCGAACGGTTGCTTGTGGAACCTACGGCCACTGACATGTGTGCCAACGTTAGGGTTTAGGGTTTAGGGTTTAGGGTCTAGGGTCTAGGGTCTAGGGTCTAGGGTTTAGGGTTTAGGGTTTAGGGTTTTTGAAATGCTGGGACTCAGAGCCTCATGGCTGCTCATAGCTGTTGTATTTGGAATCCCCCTTCCTGGTGACTGCGATGCTCCACAATCCTATCCCATCCTGTCTGTCCTTGTCTGATGCCCCCTACGCAATGGCCGCACCACATCCCATCCTACCCCACCACACCAACAACGTCAACGCCACCAGCACCGCCGACTACAGGCAATACACCCTGAACCCTAAACCCTGAACCCTAAACCCTAAACCCTAAACCCCTAAACCCCTAAACCCCTAAACCCCTAAACCCCTAAACCCCTAAACCCCTAAACCCCTAAACCCCCAAACCCCTAAACCCCTAAACCCCTAAACCCTATGCAGCCTGGGCAGGTCGCTGGTATTCTGAGACCACGAGTCTCCGTTGGGGCGGATCACGAAGCCGTCAGGCTGCAGTCCATAGTGGTCACGGCCTGCGCAGGGTTACGGACTTAAGGTTTAGGGTTTAGGGTTTGGGCTTTGGGGTTTAGGGTTTAGGGATCTAAGGGTCTAAGGGTCTAAGGGTCTAAGGGTCTAAGGGTCTAAGGGTCTAAGGGTCTAGGGTCTAGGGTTTAGGGTTTAGGAGCTTGCTGGGACTATACGATATAACTACAAACAGTGGGTCCAAAGAGCGCTACGACGAATCCCCACTCAAGGTCGTCAGGCCTGGCACAGTTGCGGTTTAGGGTTAGGGTTTAGGGTTTAGGGTTTAGGGTTTAGGGTTTAGGGTTTAGGGTTTAGGGTTTAGGGTTTAGGGTTTAGGGTTTAGGGTTTAGGGTTTAGGGTTTAGGGTTTAGGGTTAGGAATTAGGGTTTAGGGTTTAGGGTTTAGAGTTTAGGGCTAGGGTTTGGGGCAGCTATGCACGCCACAACAGTCCCCTCCCTAGGGTTTTGGGTCTAGCGTTCAGGGTTGCGGATCGATCTCTCCCTAGCAACACCCTGCACTCGGATTGGACCCAAGCCCGATCAGAAGGATTTTGGCCTTCAAAACCCCAAAGGGTTTAGAAGCCAGGGATTAGGGTTTAGGGCGAACCCTTAACTTGGGCCTAAAACCTTAAAGCCAAAAAGAACCTTAAAACCAAGTTTGCCCCATCAATGCTCCGGCCCGCCTTGGGGGAAGATGTAGATGAAGTCCACGACGCTGCCTCCAAAGGACGTGGCACGTCTAATGAGTGAGTGAGTGAGTGAGTGAGTGAGTGTCGACCTGGGGTGCTCTCCGGCCTACGGAAACGGTCCCTCTCGCCTTCTTTGCCCCTCCGCATGCGTCATCGGGGCTCCGGTGCAGAGTTCAACGCTCCGGGCCCCGCAATCCGAGCCTGGGATTTGGGAGGGGTGTGCCACCCGAACCTCCATGGGCCCGCCCCCCCAAGCCGGGCGGCTTGGGTTGGAATTGGACACTTGGCAAGACAGCCCACTTCGCAGGAACAAAGCTCTTCCCACGATGATCCCTCACCGAAGTACTAAGCTGGGGACACTGGCTCAGAGACGGGGCATGGTTGGGAAAGGTGGTCGAACAAACACGCACACACGCACAGCACCGGCAGCGAATCTAAGGGCAAAAGCACATTCAGCTGATGCCCTTGTGGCTGCAAATACTCGAACAATGTCCCCTTGGCGTGTGGGGAGATGCCTGACGCTGAAGGCATCCCCCTCGACCAAAAGGGGGGGTGGCACGTCTAAAAAGAATTCAACACACCCTTGAGCATACCCATGAAAGAAAGAAAGGGCATAGTAAAATCCTTCAGATATATTCTCCCTTTATAGATTAAGGGCTATGGGTTTGGGGCATGTTGAAATTATTCTTACAGCACAGGGTTTAGGGTGCACGGCTTCAAGGTTTCGGGGCTTCAGGGCTTTAGGACTTTACGTGACCGCCTGGTGTCGGCAATTGGGAGGGCGGCACCTGGGGTCCAAGGAAGAGTCCTATGATAGACCAGTGGGGCTTTGCGGCGTTCAAGGTCTATCGCGGCCCAGCGAGAAAGCTCCTGAGATAAGGAAAGTACCCTCTAACCCGTAATTCAGGATCTCCTATACATGTCTGCTAATTGAAAGAAACCCTGAAACCTGAAACCCTAAACCCTAAACCCTAAACCCTAAACCCTAAACCCTAAACCCTAAACCCTGAACCCTAAACCCTAAACCCTAAACCCTAAACCCTAAACCCTAAACCCTAAACCCTAAACCCTAAACCCTAAACCCTAAACCCAACTCAACCAGGGTTGCCAGGGTTGCGCGCGGGCGCCTGAAGCCTTCACCTGAACTTCGGCCTCGCCCAGCTGTCCTGACAGGTTTAGGGTTTAGGGTTTAGGGTTTAGGGTTTAGGGTTTAGGGTTTAGGGTTTAGGGTTTAGGGTTTAGGGTTTAGGGTTTAGGGTTTAGGGTTTAGGGTTTAGGGTTTAGGGTTTAGGGTTTGGTTACGCATCGCTTTCCCAATAAGAAGGGTGTATGCTTTTGGGGTTACGTATCGCTTACACAGCAAATTTACAATGTCCCCCCAAAGTAACCCGAAGAGGAGCGGGCTTTTGCCAGTCGCTCACGTGGAGATTTACTGGCAGAGCCTTCTCCGCTCCAAGCACCTGGCGCACGCTGCCGACAACATCACGAAGATCCTGGCGTTTGTGAGTTTTCAGCACAACATTGCATGTAACCGCCACACGGACGGAGTCCAAGCTGGTGGGCGACAGCCAAAAGTCCTCGGATGGCACGTTTGCCCTGGCGAGGACTCGGCGAGGACTGGCGCAAGACGCACGAACGCAAACAAAAAAGAATCACTCCCCGAATTCATGTCCAGAGGCCATCAGTGGAAAGGGGGTTTCGGGTTTAGGGTTTAGGGTTTAGGGTTTAGGGTTTGGGGTTTAGGGTTTAGGGTTTAGGGTTAGGGTTTAGGGCTGAGGGGATGGGTTCTCAGGGCTTTTGGGGTTTGGGGTTTGACCATAGGGCTCCTTCATATGTTTTCAGGTCTATTCACGTAGCACTTGGGTCTATCCCAAACCGAATCTATGGTGCTGGGTCTCTGAATGGGTCTAAACCCTAAACCCTAAACCCTAAACCCTAAACCCTAAACCCTAAACCCTAAACCCTAAACCCTAAACCCTAAACCCTAAACCCTAAACCCTAAACCAGGCTTACTTGGGTTTATCACGTTGGCATTAGATAACGTCACCGCACCTGTAGGGTCCCAAACCCAGAATGCCTACAATGGCCCTAGACCCCGAATCGCAGGGTTGAGGGCTTAGGGTTCAGGGTTTAGGGCTTAGGCCTTAAGGTTTAGGGTTTAGGGTTTCGGGTTTAGGGGGTGTATGATGAACCCTTGCCGCAAGAAAGACACACACAGAGACATACAAGAACACTAACACAAACACAAACCACAAGCACAAACTCAAACTCTCAACTGAAACGCGCACACACACATAGAGAATCCCTACATGGGCCTTCTACTCGGAGTGCTAAGGCATACTGTTTAGGCACACTGTTTAAGGTTTAGGGTTTAGGGTTTAGGGTTTAGGGTTTAGGGTTTAGGGTTTAGGGCTGGGAAGGCCCCATGTATCCTCTTGGGTCTAGGGCCCCTTACACTGTGGACCCTGAACCCTGCAAGTCACAAGGCGCAGCGTGTGGCTGTTCAGTGCTTCAGGGCATCGACTTTAACGTGCCAAAGCCTTCTGGGCGTTTGTGTCTTTAGGATTTATGGCTTGGGTCTTCAAACCTCTAAACCCTAAACCCTAAGTACTACATACCTAAACACTCCATCCTAAGCTTGGGTGGTGTGTCAGCGTGGGAGATCAGATTTGTGGTCTACTTTGGAGGGGGGCCTGCTCTAAGAAAGGGCTTGTGGGGTCTGAGAAAACAAAGACGGGTCCGAAATACACGAAGGTACCTAACCCGACACCCTAAACCCCGAACCCTAAACCCGAAACCCTAAACCCTGAACCCCAAACCCTAAACCCTACAATTTGAGAGAGGTTTGGGCTTTGGCTCCTCTGACGTTCCAGCCCAGGTAGACCTCTGTAATGCCTTCGTGCATGCGGTACACCACCTAGCAAAGCCGCAGGAGCGGAAGTGAGAGTCGAAATATGATACGCATGTCCTGATACTCGTGTGCAATAGACCCGAGCCGCCAAGGTGGTTTAGGGCTTCGGGTTGAGGGGGAACTTCCGTGGCGCATGAAGTGCCCGGCCTTGTCCGGCTCCGCGACGGCCCGCACCGTCTCGCCCACCCACTCGCGGACCCGCGAGTGCGCTGCCACCGACCTTACTGTTGGTTAGCAGGGAATGAGGGAATTCGGGCCCATATATGTATATATATATATGCATATATATATATATATAAGTATATATATATATACATATACCCTTTAAGGTGTTATATAGGGCCCCATATATATATATATATATATACCCCCATATATACCCTTTAAGGGATTAGATAGGGTACCCCATTCCCCGAACCAACAGTAAGCCACTGCATCGCCAGGTCGAAGAGGGAGGCCGGTGTGTGGTCGTTTCGAGGGTCCAGGGCGGCCTCGGTAGCAGTGCCTCATGGCAGCTAAACTAAGAAACCCTACATCCTAAACCCTAAACCCTAAACCTAAACCCTAAACCCTAAAGCCTAAACCCTGAACCCCCTGGACTAAGAAGCACGCGAGCCCTTGCAGCTCCAACCATACACATCGTTCAACTCTAAACCCTAAACTTTGGTAACTTAACCTGAGATCCTAAAAACAAACAGCACAACCACTGCACCCTATAAGCCCCCAACCCCCAAAACCTAAACCCAAAATCCTAAACCCTAAATACCCTAAACCCCAAACCCTAAACCCTAAACCCCAAACAAAAAAACCCTAAACCCTAAACCCTAAGAGCCTCAATGCTTGCACAGGGCACCTCCCAGGCGACATCCCCGGGTCGTCCCATGTAGCGCACGTCGCCCGCACGAATCCGACGCATGACATGGAGCTCGTGGTGCATTCGCGCCTTGGGGGTTTAGGGTTTAGGGTTTAGGGTTTGGGGTTTGGGGTTTGGGGTTTGGGGTTTGGGGTTTGGGGTTTGGGTTTTGGGGTTTGGGGTTTGGGGTTTGGGGTTTGGGGTTTGGGGTTTGGGGTTTGGGTTTGTTCAGGGTTGTTTAGGGTTTTGTTTGGGTTTACCAGAAAACTCCCATGTGGTTTGCTTTTGGGCTAGCTATGCAGGCTTCGACTATACTACCCTAGGTACCACACCCTAGCCAGTGGTCAAGGCTTAGTTAGGTTTCCTGAACCCCTTAAAGCCCCTCAACCTTAAATCCCAAAACCTTAAATCTGCTTCAGTCTTGAGGTAATGGCATGGTCCCTCAATGTGGACCCTTGATTGGGGAACCCATTTAAACCCTATAAGGCTCAAGGGCCTGTACTTCAGAACAGTTTAAAGAAGGTAAGGAATCATACTAAGGGACCATGCAACTTCCCTCACTTGGAGGTTCAGGGTGCTTCTTGCCCATTTATCAATGTAGTTATAACGCACTGGTAAGCCCCTTAAGTACCCTAATATGGTTCTACTTAGGCGATAAGTACGGTTATGATCTGAATCTGATTCTCCAAGGTGTACAGAGACCCTTAGCCGCTTCGCAGGCCATCTTGGTGAGGGTTTGCTACGACTTGCTTCAGACCCCCCCCCCCCCCCCCCCCAAAAAAAAAAAAATAACAATCCCTATACGGCCGGTACACGGAAGAATATCTGTTGTCTCGGGGGGGGGGGGGGGGGGGGGGGTGGTTCTTAAGCAACTGGTAGTTTATGACGGGGCTTGGGGTGCTGCAGGGTCTACTTGGAGGTTCATGGTACTTGTAACCCAGATATATCTGTACTTACAAGCCACTTATAAGCCCCTTAAGTGCCCTAACATGGTTATGATCGGGTTATAAGTGCAGCTATAATCGGGTTTTTAACTAGCATGAACCTCCAAGTAGGGATGCTTCGTGGCGTAGGCTCTAGGGGGGGATTGTAGAACAACATCCCGACAAGGGCTTGGCTTCAGAGGTCTCAAAGAACTCACCCCACGACGCACACCATGTTTACCCTAGACCCTAAACCCCACAACCTGAAGCCTAGGGTTTCAACTTTCGCGCGGGGTTTAAAACGCCAAACCCATCCATCCTGCTCCCTAGGTCCTAAAAACCGAGCCGGAACCCCAAGCCCCTACCCATACTCCGAGTTGCCGGTTCCGCATCCCAAAGCCCCGCCCTCCGCTGCAAAACGCTACCGAAATGATTAAAGCATACGTGATCACTGCAATTATGATTAATCTCCCAATGATATCATGTGTATTACAGCCAAATTTTAGAGCCCGATGAAGGGAGACCTTAAGGTGTGCGAAGCGCAGGGGATCCTACGCCCTCTCAGCCCTACCCTAAACCCTTAACCCTGAACCCCAGACCCTAAACCCTAGACCCCAAACCCTAAACCCTGACTGCACCCCCTAATAACATGCGGAACCCTGCATATCCGGGACCAGTCGCAAAGAGTTCACCCTTCCTGCACTGCAGGCTGGCCGGCGCATACCTGGCACTGCCAAGCCCTAGACCGGGGTGTAGGAGGTTAAAGTTTTTGGTAGGGTGTAGGGTGTAGGGTGTAGGGTGTAGGGTGTAGGGTGTAGGGTGTAGGGTGTAGGGTGTAGGGTGTAGGGTGTAGGGTGTTTTTAGGGTTTAGGGTTTAGGGTGTTGGGCTTAGGGCTTAGGGTTTAGGTCGTAAACAGGTTTAGGGATTATATAGGGGGGGGGGGGGGGGGGTTGGGATTTTAAGCATTGTAAGTTTGTAAGTCGAAGGGGGAGCCGGGGTTTAGGGTTCAGGGTTCGGGGTTTAGGGCTCAAGGTTTAGGGTTTAGGGTTTAGGGTTTAGGGTTCAGCTTCTGTTCGCTCTTCTCCCTTGCTGATGCCTTTGCTTTGGCCGCTGTCTCCAAAGGTGTCTCGTGCGGTACTCAGCAATGCACTGCGTGTAGAGCTCGGAGTGAGGAGGTACAAGTACTACGTTTCAAGCCAACATGTTTACTTCGGGTTTGGTGCCTACCTCAAGCGTATAATTCCCTATAGACCTGACCCACAAAGGAACTACATTAGAGCCTTCCTGTAAGGTTTGGTACAGTATTTGGAATTTGGAAGCCGTTGAACCTGGAACCCCAACCCCCCGGCAAAAGCAGTTTCAAGAGGGTTTGGAAAATGGATCTGCGTTCACCCTGAGGCCGGCGAAAATTTGAACAGATTAGGATTCTTGAACAACCGGGATTTTAATAAAGCCCACCCAGGAAAATATCTGACATCATATTGAGTAACCCTAAACCCAAACCCTAAACACTAAAGGGTATTGGGATCTTTGGGCAGGCAACGCCTCACCGGAAGCATCAGAATCCAACAAAACAAAAAGCCACGCCTCGGATCCCCAAAGGCACAAACACGACACAGCCAAAACAATCCATGTCCGACATGGGGGTTTGCGTAAAGGGTTTAGGGTTTAGGGTTTAGGGTTTAGGGTTTAGGGTTTAGGGTTTAGGGTTTAGGGTTTAGGGTTTAGGGTTTAGGGTTTAGGGTTTAGGGTTTAGGGTTTAGGGGTTTACGAAGATAAGGGACCCCCAATATATTCCCTCAAATAGTAGGATTCCCTTCTAGTAAGGACCCCAATAAGGTACCCCTCTAGACCCGGGAGTAACCTAGGAATAAGAAGGGTGCCCTTTTTGGTTTTAAGGGGATTATAAGGGAACCCCAGCCTTAAAAAAAGGACATAACCCCTTTCGTTTCGGAAACCCCGCATCTGCCGTGCCTGAAGAGCCGATTCGCGTCCTCGGCGTCGAGGCATTGCACGACGAAGCCTGAGGTTGGTCTAGGGTTCAGGGCTCAGGATTGGGGTTTAGGGTTTAGGCTTTAGGATTTAGGGCTTGGGTCTTAGGGCTTGGGGCTTAGGGCTTACGGCTTTAGGGGCTAGGGCTGCTAAGAAGGGAGCCTGACGCACCCCAGAAACCTACAGCTCTGAAGCACCAAACCCCTAAAGCTCACTACGTCACAATCACTTATACCCTATAAACCCTAAACCCTATAAACCCTAAACCCTAAACTCTTGGGGTCTTTGGGCAGCTCCATGCTCCCTTAGTATGGGCCCGTCAATGGGGACCCCTTACATGCCCCTTATATGTCACAAAGCCCATACGTTAGAACCCTAGCGACCATGCTAAGGGACCATATAGGGTTTAGGGTTTAGGGTTTAGGGCTTAGAAACAAAGCCCTAAAGCACCTCAACCCCAAAAGCCCTCAGAGCCATTGGAGCCCCCAGTCAAACCCCAAAAACCCTCCACGCCCAAGACATGAAAAACCCCTCAAGTCCCTACACCAACCCGAGAAACCCCTATACTAAATGTTTTAAAAAAACCGAACAAAAACAAAACTGTACGAAAGCCCCCTGAACCCTAAACCCTAAACCCTAAACCCCAAAAGCCCTAAACCCTAAAAGCCCTAAAGCCCCCAGTCATCTGCATCTCAGGGGGCGCCGGCCCACCCGTAGTGCTGCCCAGGCAGAGAGGGCCAGGGTGGGGCCGACTAAGCCTCGTGGGGTTTTGGGGAGGCTTAGGGTTTAGGGTTTAGGGTTTAGGGTTTAGGGTTTAGGGTTTAGGGTTTAGGGGTTGAGGGGTTGAGGGGTTGAGGGGTTGAGGGGTTGAGGGTTTAGGGGTTGAGGGTTTAGGGCTCAGGGGTTTGAGGCTTTTAGGGCAGTAGAGGCTCGTACTTAGCTGAGGGTTTTGGGCCACGCGGTCGTCAGTTGGTCCCTTGTTTAGCATTCAGGGCCGTGTTCTAAAGGGCATGCAAAAGCCGAAGCCCGAATTGAAAGAACTGAGCACCAACCTCATGGCGTCTCGGAAAGCCAACAAAGTAGACTGACCTCAATATTCTCAACGGAAGAAGAACCTGAACTGTCAACCCCAAGCCCACAACCTAAACTCCCAAGCCCCGAATCGCAGACTCCCAGCCTGAAATTGTCAAACCCTAAGCCCTAGCACGCAAACCCAAAACCCCCAAGCGTAAAATGCTAGACCCTCAACCCTAAACCCTAGACCCTAAACCCTACACCCTAAGCCCTAAACCCTACACCCTACCCGTATCTTATCTCTGCAGAGCCGCCGTGGCCAGCGCAACCAGCCCCTGCGCCCAGCAGAACCAGAACACCGGTGTCCACAGGCCTTTCAAATTTACGTTTTAGGGTTTAGGGTTTAGGGCTTAGGGTTTAGGGCTTAGGGTTTAGGGTTTAGGGTTTAGGCTTTAGGGCTTGGGGTTTAGGTTTCAAGTTTTGGGGCTCGGTCAGGATTTGGGGTTTGGAACTAGTAACTAGGGGTTTGGTGTTGAGGTTGGGCTCAGGAATTTGGATTTCAGGACTTGGGTGCAGTTTTGTCTGCTACCTCACGTACTGTGTCGATCGAAATGTCCGGGCCCCCCTTTGGTACCCTAAGCTGCAAGGAATTCACACTCTAAACCCTACAGTAAACCCTAAAACCTAAACCCCTAATCCCCAAACCCCAAACCAGAAGGGCCCACTGTCACCACAACAAAAGCGCAAGTCTAAGGATTAATCAACGTACCCCTTGGGCATACCCTTTAGAGAAACTAAGGGGCACGGAAAATCCTTCCTGGTATTCTCCTTTTATAGGCTGAGGTATATGGGACGGGTTTACAAACCCTAAAACCTAAACCCTGAACCCTGATAGTTACAGCTTAAGGGGTATGGGTTGCCATAATTTCGGAAACCCTAAACCCTAAACCCTAAACCCTAAACCCTGAGAAGGGGTGTGCGTTTGGGTATGTTGAACTATTCTTAGCGCAGGCCAGCCTCGCGGATGCCTGCGGCACGGCGCCCTGCTCTTGGCCCTGGCCTCAAAAGTTTAGGGTCTAGGGTTTGGGGTTTGGGGTTTAGGGTCTGGGGTTTAGGGTTTGGGATTGGGGTTTGGGGTTGGGGTTTAGGGTTGTTTTGAGATTGGGGTTCAGGGTATGGGGTTTAGGGTTTGAGGTTTGGGGTTTGGGGTTTAGTCTAGGGTTTTGAGGAGGCACGCCATGCAGGATCAGGGGACTTTGGGTCTTGAGGGAGCAAAGGTGCACAAAAACACATGTCTCAGAATCACTTGAACCCTGTTTAGGGTTTAGGGTTTAGGGTTTTGGGTTTTGGGTTTACCCGAAACCCTAAAACATAAACCGCGTAGCCGCAACTCCGACAGGCCCAAAGCGGCCCTTAGCCCTAAACCCTACACCCGTAAACCAAAAAACCTGAATGAGCCCTGTAAGCGAAATAAACCATATAGGCCCAACTCAGAGTTGAGGCTGTCTCACGAGTGATCTGGAGCAGTCCTCGTTCCCTTAAACCCTGAAACCCTTAAATCCTGAGACCCTTAGACCCTAAGACCCTAAACCCTAAGACCCTAAACCCTAAACCCTAAACCCTAAACCCTAAACCCTAAACCCTACATCCCAGCCTTCTTTTGCAGGCCCAGAGCCCTGTACCAGGCTTTCCCGCCAGCGCAGAAGCCGCAGCCTCAGCTGGCTCTTGTGCCAGAGCTCCTTTCTCCAGGAGGGTTTAGGGTTTAGGGTTTAGGGTTGAGGGCTTAGGGCTTAGGGCTTATAGGGCTTAGGGCTTAGGGCTTGGGGTTTAGGGTTGCCTTTAGGGTTTAGGGTTACTTTACTCTACACCTAAAACTCTAAATCTCATGGCCCATGCTTTAGAGATGGAAGCTCAAGGTTTGGAGGCTTGAGGTTTAGGGTTTAGGGTTTTGGGGGAGGCGAGTCACAACACTTGTTCTCACATTTTGAACGCGCTGCTTGCCGCTGCAAAGGAAGTTCGCTACCACAACATTTGCCACGCGCGGTATGTGTCCGGTGGCCTGACGACCACGCAGCCGCTTGTGTTTGAAACTAAGTGCTTGGAGCAGAGCTAGACCGTATCGCCCACGAGCTCTGAAAGGATGAACTCTAGTTACGAGCCTTCTGGCTCTGCATAGGCAAATGAAGAAGTTCGTGTCTCCATCCTTTCATGCTCACACATGGAACGAACCCGTTTGCTTCCAGTCGTCTCGTCTTTGTAGCCCAGAACGACATTCGTGAGGGAGGGCGGCACTTTCACAAAGAGTGACGGGTGCTGCGACTTGGGAAGGTAGCTTGTGGAAGCCAGGGGCTGGCGGTTTAGAGCTTGGCTTCTTCTCGGTCCGACGACGTGTGCCCCAAACCCTAAACTCTTAGCTCTAAACCCCAAACTCCAAACCCTAAACCCTAAACCCCAAACCTTAAACCCTGAACTCTAAACCCTAAACCATTATCAGGCGAGTTGGGGAGTTGCACGGGGTCGAGTATCACGGTCCTCCCGCAACGACCTCCCTACCTTGGAGGATCCAACAAGTGGATCCCTTTAAGGGTCCCTAAGAAGGACCCAATAGTAGTCTAGGGTTTAAGGTTTGGGGTTTTAGGGTTTGGGGTACAGGGTTTAGGGTACTATTTGGGATTCTACTTGGGTAGGGACCCAGCCAGACACCCAGATGCTGAAGCCAATCAGTCCGAGCCCCTTCATGGAGAAGCCAACTTTCAACAAAACAAAGGCAACCCTCACAAGGCCCCAAAACCTTAAACAACAAAAGCAAGTTTAGGGTCTAGGGTTTAGGGCTTAGGGTTTAGGTTTAGGGATCTAGCAAAACCTGTGAAATCAAAAACCTGACATCCCCAAAGCCCTACACCCCGGGACCTGAGACCCCACAAAAGTCACCCCAAACACTAAACCCTAAACCCTAAACCCTAAACCCTATAAACCCTAAACCCTAAACCCTAAACCCTGAACCCTGAACCCTAAACCCTATAAACCCTAAACCCTAAACCCTAAACCCTGAACCCTGAACCATCTCTCCCCCTGGTCCTGGGCACTGCCGTCACGCACCTGCCGCGCCGCGCTGGTCGCGGCGGCCACGCTCCTGCCCCAGAAATGCGGTGGGGGGCTGCTCCCAAACCCTAAACCCTAAACCCTAAACCCTAAACCCTAAACTCTAAACTCTAAACTCTAAACTCTAAACTCCAAACCTAAACCTCTGCTCCTGTCAAACCAGGCGTTGAAGCGATCGTCGAACTGTCGGTTGGCTTGAGTCCATCTGGACCAGAGCAGGTCCTCCGCTTGGGAGTTTCTAGGGCGTTAGGGCTTCTAGGGTTTAGGGCTTCAAATCAAAAGCAATGCCTGGAAGCACAATGATCGCTGCAGATGTTTGTGTTTACAAACGCTTTGGGAGTTTAGGGCTTCCAGGGTTTGGGGTTTCTAGGGCTTAGGGTTGGTTTGGGGCTTCTAGGGTTTGGGGTTCTAGTGTTTAGGAGTTTTGGGATTTGGGGTTTCTAGGGTTTTAGGGTTTGTAGGGTTTAGGGCTTCTCGGGTTTGGGGGTCTAGGGTCAAGGACTTTTGGGATTTAGGGTTTCCAGGTTTATTGTTTCTAGGGTTTCGGGAATCTAGGGTTTGGGGGTTCTAGGGTTTAGGAGTGTTGAGATTTAGGGTTTCGGGTTTCTGAGGTTGGGGGGCTTCGATTGGGGGCTTCTAGGGTTTAGGGCCTTCTAGGGTTTGGGAGCTTCTAGCGTTTTGGGCTTCTAGGCTTTAGGGCTTTTAGGGCTGATAGGAACCGTCTAGCTAGGTGTACACGGTATTCGAAGCGTTTAGGCTTCGTCTTAGCGTAGTTGCATGGTGCCTTAGTATGGGCCCTTAACTGGGGAACCCTGAACCCTAAACCCTATACCCTAAACCATTTTCCCTAAACCCTGAACCCCTTTCAGACCCTAGAAAAACCCAAGGACAAATACTTCAGAACCCTTTAAAGAAGGTAAGGGACCACTAACCCATCAGTAACCTGAAGGGCGCCCTTTTGGTTAAACGGGGCTTATAAGGAAGCCTAAACCCTAAAAAGAGAATGAAGGCCTACTCTGGGTCCTAGTTCGGAACCCTTTGAAGAAGGTAAGGGACATCCCTATACACGAGGGCCCATACTTCACAACCCTTTCAAGAAGGCAAGGGAACCGTATGAATGGACCGGGTGGGATTTCGGGGTTGAGGCGCGAAGGGTGTAGGGTTTTGGTAAGTTTAGGGGCTTAGGGTTCCACATGTTAAGGTTGAGGGTTTAAAGTCTGGCGCACTCTTAAGGGGGTTTGGGCCTTAAGGGTTTCGGGACTCGCGTAACTCAGCGGTTTGGGATTCGGGCTTGGCCTCAAAAGTACGTACCTCGCCTGACAGGGTTTGGGGGTTTAGGGTTGGACTTTTGGATGAAGGACCCCCAGCAGGGATCCCAATGTAGAAACCACCTTGCGGCCTAGGATTTCGGGTTGAGGGCCATAACCGTAGGGTTTAGGGTTTAGGGTTTAGGAGGGTTTAGGGTTTAGGGTTTAGGGTTTAGGGTTTAGGGTTTAGGGTTTAGGGTTTAGGGTTTAGGGTTTAGGGTTTAGGGTTTAGGGTTTAGGGTTTAGGGTTTAGGGTTTCGGGCAAAATTCGTAGGACTCGGCTTTGGGGTTTACCGCAGCCTGGGGTTGAACGTGCTTGAGGTTCCGCGCTGCAGTAACCTGAGCCCCAAGTCCCAAAACCGCAAGCCTCGAAGCAGTGGCTTACATTCACGCCCACCCACAAAGATTCCATGCACAAGCGAAGTTGATGTTTTAGGGTTTAGGGTTTAGGGTTTAGGGTTTAGGGTTTAGGGTTTAGGGTTTAGGGTTTAGGGTTTAGGGTTTAGGGTTTAGGGTTTAGGGTTTCACGCCAGGGTTCCTGGATGACCCCCGCACAAACCCTATAGAAAGCCCGGTGATCAGAGACGTCCCGTTTGGGCGGTTCTCCAGATCGTCAGGTTCGTTCCCAGTACCCGAAATATCAGGCCCCTAAACCCTAACCTTAAACCCTAGACGTAAGCCCCCCAAAACAGAACCCCCAATTTCGGGAACCCCTCTCTTGTTATTGTGCCATTTGCGGACCTAACCCATAGACTCCAATACTCCCTAGCTAAGAAAGTATTCCTTAAACCACACAAGGAACTCTTTCAAATTCTAAGGTGTATTCCTTAATTAAGGGGCGTTGGGGTCCCTGGAAAACAACCACTATTTGCTTAAGAAGCCCCCAAGAAACAAAAGATCAGAATCCCTATATTGCGCTTGTAAGGAAGAGCATTCTTAGGTTTTTGGGGGTTCTTGAGCAATTCGCACCCCCGGACCCTTCTGTCCATCAAGTCCGACGCGGGCAGTGTCCTCAGGGCTCGCAGTGCCTGGGGGCACACGGAGTCTGAAGTCTGGTTTGGGGCGGAGCTTATCCTAAATCCCAAACCCAACACCCAAAACCCTAAACCCAACTCATAAACCCTAAACCGTATCCCAAACCCAAAATACTAAACCCTAAGCCCTAAATCCCACACCCAAAAAAACTAAGGTTTATTTGAAGCGACCAGGTCTCAGTGCGGCTCAGGGTTCACTTGAAGCCGGCTGCAGGGCTGTTGGGGTCATTAGCCAGGTTTAGGGCAGCGCTCTGAGTATGATGACCCATATTACTTAGCCCTCAGCCAAAATGAAACCGGAGCTTAAAAGCTTCAACCCTTGCCTAACCCCGAAGTAGGCCAATCCTAGACCCTGAACCCTGACCCAGCAATGACAACCCTGAAGCCCTAAACCATAAACCCTACAACCCCGAAACCCTAAACCCGAACACCCCAAAACTCTGAAACCCGAAAACCCTAAACCCTAAACCCTGCCCCCTCCCCCACACCAAAAAAACAACGGAACCTTTAACCGACCGTCACAATGCCAACAGAGCCCAATGCCCCTCAATTAAGGCATATACCTTAAATCACATAGGGAGCCTTAGTATGGTTTCAGGTATACCCTACACCCTAAACCCCCAAAACCCCTAAATCCCATAAACCCCCTAAACCTCTCAAACCCCCTAAACCCCCTAAACCCCCCCCTAAACCCGCCTAAAACCCCCTAAAAACCCCCTAAAACCCCCTAAAACACCCCCCCTAAACCCCCTAAACCCGAAACTCCCTAAACTGTCTTTATTTTAAGGGGTACAGAGGGCTCTTTGGGTTCCAGGCCGGGCCACTCTTAGGCGCTGCCTCCATGCCGCCGAAAAGTGCAGGGAACGCTCTTTGGCCGACTCCTCGTTCGGGTTTAGGGTTTAGGGCTTAGGGTTCAGGGTTTAGGGTTTAGGGTTTAGGGTTTAGGGTTTAGGGCTTAGGGCTTAGGGCTTAGGGTTTAGGGTTTAGGGTTTAGGGTTTAGGGTTTAGGGTTTAGGGATTTTTGCATAGGGAAGGTGCGAGGGAAGCTTTTTTCAGGGTGGGAGAGGAATCCATCAAAACAAGGCAATTTGGGATTTAACCTAGAGAGAGACCGGTTTGCTGCCCAAAAATCTTTGGTGGCCAAACATGTCCTGATACAGGCTTAACAACCCTGAACCTTAAACCCTAAACCCTAAACCCTAAATCCTAAGCCCTAAACCCAAAACCCGAACAACCCTCACACCCAACACCAGCAAACCTTCCCGGAAGACCCTGTACCCAGCCTGGAATTCCGACAGGGCCAGCTTCGTTCGCCTCACTTTCCGGCGAAGCCACTTCGAAGCATTCGAAGAGGGCGTCTCCTCGGGCTGGACACTACTAACTAAACCTACAAACCACGGGTTTAGGGTTTAGGGTTTAGGTACTGGGGTACATATTTCTCTCAAAAGTCGGGGTCAACCCTGAACCCATAAACCTCCGTGCCTGGTAAGGCACACACTCCCAAGAAAAGCAGCATGAAAGCACCCTAAAGCAGACTCAAAGACACGATGGACAGGGGCCTTAAGAGTCAGACGGAAGGGGGGAGGGGGGGGTGAATTGTACCCAATACTGAACCCCCCCCCACCCCCTTAGCGACCAACAGCCGACTCCTCTTGAGGTTTCCCCTTGCCCTAGAATGGAGCCCAAATGTTGCTAAAGCCCAAAGCCACAGCAGCTTCAAGTATGATTTTGTTCGGGGCTCACTTTCTGCATGGGCCGGCGAAGGTCTCAGCGGTATCGGAGTTCCACTTCTTGAGTCCGAGGCTCTACGTAAGCCTTCGCAACCCAGCAACCATGATGCAACAATAAGGGTTTAGGGTTAAGGGTTTAGGATTTCGGGTTTAGGAGTTAGGTAGGGTTTAAGGGCAGGGTTTTGAGGAATTAGGGTTTAGGGTTTGAGGCACCCTTTTGGGCTCCGGCTGCCATACCAGGACCACTAAACCTGAACCCAAGAGAAGGATCTTGATCTCGACATAAGCAAAAAGGGTTCTAGGCCTGAGGCGTAAAAGCCAAGAGCTAAACCCTAACTCCTAAACCCTGAGCCCTAAACCCTAAGCCAACCAGGAGGGCTCAAAGAGGTTGGGCATATATGTATATATATATATATGTATATGTATATATGTATATGGGGCCCAGAACCAAAATTCAAACCTTAACAAGCCCCAAGCCGCAACGGACTCTGAAGCAGGAATGAAACACAACACCCCTTTGTTACCCGGATTTGGGTGTGCAGGGTTTAACGGGTCCATGGGGTTTATAGATTTTATGGAGTTCAACGGAGGTACGAATCCTCGCCCCACGTACGTACTCGGCAGAACCTTTCACGGCGCATGCCGTGGACTCCAAGACCAAGTCATCGTCCTGCAAGCCTAGCTGCCAATGTCTACACCCGCTGCAGCAACTGCTGTCGGCTGCAGCGGGATTCCTCGTAATTCCACCAGGAGTGCGCCGGGACCATCGGGCACTGGCACTCCCTGCATCCCCTCGTGGCCGCACACAGCCGCGGCACGTGGAAGTCGCTCATCATGTGTAGGCGGCGCATGATCCCCTTGCGCGGCTGTGTATAGAGTTTACAGGGATTACAGAGTTTATAGGGTCGAATTATGGGTTTTAGGGGTAACACCCCGAATCAAGCCCTAAACCCTCAACCCTCAACCCTCAACCCTAAGCCCTAAGCAGGACTAAACCCTAAACAGGACTAAACCCTTCTCCTCGCCACCGCCTGGGGCCGCAAAGCGCCGGGCTGCCCAAGCCGTGCCGGAGCCGCTGGGAAGTCGGAGGGTGCGCCGGAGCATGGCTCCCTAAACCCTAAACCCTAAACCCTAAACCCTAAACCCCATAGGCCCCTAAAACCCGAAACCCTCAACACCTAAGTCCTGAACCCTAAACACCTGGATCCCAAACCCCCGCAGCTTCTGGCTGAAAGTGTATGAGGTTTAGGGTTTAGGGTTTAGGCTTTAGGGTTTGGGCCTTGGGGCGGCTTAAGGTTTAGATTTCAAGGGTGGTGAGTTTAAGGCGGCTGAGGGCTCAGGATTATAGAGCCGAACAAACTCCAACAGGAGTGCGACAGGCAAGTTGAAGTACGGTGGTGTGGCCTTTGCTGGGCCTAGGGTTTAGGGTTTAGGGTTGAGGGTTTAGGGTTTAGGGTTTAGGGTTTAGGGTTTAGGGTTTAGGGTTTAGGGCAGCCACCTGCGGGTTGGGTTCAGGGTGCTGCTTAGGGTTTTGGACCGCAAGCATTAGCGGACCTCTATGCAACTGCTTGTTGCCATGAGTGGGGCTGCCTTTAAGCTCGCGGCACGTGTGGCGGCGGAAGCATATCCAGTCTCAGCGGCAGATGCCACCCAACGCAGTCTTTGCGAACCCCTACAAGCCTAAACCCTAAACCCTACATCCTACAAACCCTAAACCCGAAATAAGCCCCGTAAACCCTAAACCCTGAACCCCATATTCCCTAAACCCTAAACTTAAACCCTAAACCCGAACGCCCACTTCGGGAGCTCGGACAGCTCTAACTGCTTGAGACAGGGGGGGGTTTCAGCCTTTGAAAACGTAGTCATGGCTGGGGACGTGCCAAAGATAGGGGCCAGAAAACTTGCTAGTAGTATCCGGAACCCTAGACCCGACCCTGAGCCCTAAACCCTAAATCCTAAACCCTGAACCCTGAACCCTGACCCTAAAACCCAGCAGCTCTTTTTGTGCCCCAAGAGAAAGGCAGATTCGCCACGGGACGTCTGGCTTGCCAGAGAAGAAGCTCTCAGGTCCGTTTAGCGTTGAGGCTTAGGGTTCAGGGTTTAGGGCCTCTGTCTTGAGGGGCAACAGCAGATAGCTGATCCTGTTCACCGGCACCCCAAACCCCAAACCCTAAACCCTAAACCCTAAACCCTAAACCCTAAACCCTAAACCCGAGTCTCCTGAGGTTGGTTCTCTGGCGTGCCCCTGTCGGTGGCACACTTTGTACAACTATTGTTGCACCCTTTGAGTGTGCAGCAAGAGAGGGTTTAGGGTTTAGGGTTTAGGGTTTAGGGTTTAGGGTTTAGGGTTTAGGGTTTAGGCTTCGATCCAAGCCTACGTCAGGGAAGGGCGCGGCTAAACTAAAGCGCTCGAAGCCCAATCCTTCTTAGAGCTTTCACTGGCCCCCTACTGCCCTAAGCACCCGAAACCCTATGTGAAACTTTCAACCTGCACCAGAATTTTCAAAAAGTTCCCTAAACCCTAAACCCTAAACCCTAAACCCTAAACCCTGAACCCTGAAACCTAAACCCTAAACCCCAAACCCCAAACCCACGTCAGCCCTGGCCCTGCGCCAGAGCCCCATCCAGCAGCTGCAGGTACTCGCGCCGGTGCATGCACCTGGGAGGCGCGTTGGGGTTTAGGGTTTAGGGTTGAGGGTTTAGGGTTGAGGGTTTAGGGTTTAGGGTTTAGGGCTTAGGGTTTAGGGTTGAGGGTTGAGGGTTTAGGGTTTAGGGTTTAGGGCTTAGGGTTTAGGGTTTGGGGCTCAGGGTAAGCTGATGGTGGAGAGTTTGGGGCATGGCGGATTTGGGGGTTCAGGGTTGCCAGGATTTTTGCGGGCATGTTGGCACCAGGGCTCACGACGAGCTGTACTGGTGACTTCTTGTCGCATGCGCCTTCCATCCTAGACCCGAAGCCCTCAAGAGAAAGCTCGAAAACCCGAAATCCTCAGCCCTAAGCCCTAAACCCTAACCCCGAAACCCTAAACCCTTACCTCTAAACCCCACCTGAACCCTAAACCCCAAATCCCTCCACCCAACAAACAACTCCTAGGCTCGATGCCCCACAAACTCCGAGATTCGAACCCCCGAAACTCTACGCCTGGGTTTTCGGAGTCTAGGCTGTAGGGTTTAGGGTTTAGGGTTTAGGGTTTGGGGTTTGGGGTTTGGGGTTTGGGGTTTGGGGTTTGGGGTTTAGGGTTTTCGGGTTTAGGGGGTCTTCTTCCCCGACCCTAAACATTAAAGCCTAAACCCTAAACCCTAAACCCTACACCCTGGGAAGCGCACGTGGAGCGCAGCTCATCCCGGACCTCCAGCTCCTTTATCAGGCGCTTGCTGGCCGCCTCCACTTGGAAACGCCACAAACCCTCAAACCCCTACAAACCCTTATAAACCCCTATAAGCCCCTGTAAACTCTATAAACCCTTATAAACCCCTGTAACCCTATAAACCCTACAAGCCCCTATAAACCCTATCAACACCTTTAAATCTTCATAAAGCTTGTACTCGGGGGAAAATCGGATATATGTAGGATGTCGAAGCTCTTTTGACTTAGTAAGTTTGTATACTTCGTATCCCCTCGAAAGCCCTCTGAAAATCCCCATAACCCACCTTAAGCCAAAAGGGATTCTAAGCACGGGGAGACTTTGGTGGGTTAGGTTGCGGTGTATGTATATTCAAAGGCGTATAAACACGCATCTTCTACAAATTTAATGTAGGGTTTCGGGTTTAGGTTTGAGCCTTGTAATTAAAGACAAAGATAAGGTGCACAGTGCTGCAGGATTTGGATAATCTTGCGGGCTTCAAAGCCAGCTTCGGATTAGGGCTTAGGGTTTGGGGTTTTGGGGGCCGCGGGCCGTGAGGGTTCAGGACGTTGATGGCTTGGAGGTTGCAGGGTGCCGTACGAACACTCCCAGCAAACCTTGAATGCTCACTCTAGACCCGCACCCTTATGGTTTAGGGTTTAAGGTTTAGGGTTTAGGAACCCTGAAACGATCTGTTGAAAATCCTTGGGCGTGCTTCGATGCTCCCGCCTCGGCTATCTGCTCCAGGGCGTACGCCACGATGACCTTGAACTAGGCTACATACACCTAACCCTAAACTCGACACCCCAACCCCTAAACCCCGAAACTCTGACCCCCGAAACCCTGGGCCCCAAAACCTCAACCCTAAATCCCAAACCGAAACTCTGACTTAGATTCCCCAACTCGCGCAGCACTGGGTTTATTGCCACTCCCTAGCTAGCCAAAGGCTGCTCTTCAGCTTCTGTCAGCTTCCGTGTCTGCAGCAGGAACGCAATGACATCCGAGGGTTTAGGGTTAAGGACACAATTCCATGGGCTACGGCTAAGGGTGCAGGTTGAAGCCTAAACCCCAAACCCGAAAGCCTTAATTAAGCCCCTAAAACCCCAAACCCTAGAGCCCCAACCGTCATAAAACCCGCAAATCCTCGAACCCCTAAATTAAAACCCACACCCTAAACTCCAAACCCCAAACCCTAAACCCTAAACCCCAAACCCTAAATTAAACTCCAAACCCCAAACCCCAAACCCTAAACCCCAAACCCTAAACGTCCACACCCTAAACCCCAAGCCCCCAAACTCCCGCGGCCTGAACACTGCAGACAGCCATAAGGATCCGTGCGCACGCGCTCGTACGTAAGTCAAAGACTCCAATGTTTAGGGTTTGGGGTTTAGGGTTTAGGAATTGGGGTTTGGGGTTTAGAGTTTAGGGTTTAGGGTTGAGGGTTGAGGGTTGAGGGTTTAGGGCTTAGGCCTTAGGCTGTAGGCTTTCAGCTTTCGGCTTCAGTCTTTGGGCTTTGGGCTTTAAGGTTTAGGGTTTGGGGCTATTCCTTACGTTGCAATGGGAATCCGAATGAGAGTGCAGGAATCTGTCCAAGCCCTTCGCCAGCTCGTCGTCGGCCAGTTGCAGAAGCAGGCCCTGCGTTCTCTCGTACCCACTCACTGGCGGTTTAGGGTTTAGGGTTTAGGGTTCAGGGTTTAGTTCAGGGTTTAGGGTTTAGGGTTTAGGGTTAAGGGTTTAGGGTTTAGGGTTTAGGGTTCAGGGTTCAGGGTTCAGGGTTTAGGGTTCAGGGTTTAGGGTTCAGGGTTTAGGGTTTAAGCCCTGAACCCTAAACCCTAAACCCTAAACCCTCGGTAGACAGGGGGACCCTCGATGTTTGCAGTGCCGCTTGGAAGATTGGAAGCTGGAAGCCCCTAGACCCAAGAGTAACCTAGGAATGAGAAGGGTTTAGGGTTTAGGGTTTAGGGTTTAGGGCTTAGCGCTTAGGGCTTAGGGTTAAGGGTATAGGGTATAGGGTATAGGGTATAGGGCTTAGGGCTAGGGGCTCAGGGTTTGGGAGGGGGGGGGGGGGGCCTTTTGGTGGAGCCCAGAACGTCTAAGAACAGAGGAATAAGGGCATACGCCGGGTCCCACTAAGACCCCCAGCATGGCCTGTTCTCTCAAAACTGTAGTCCGTTTTTCGGCTCCTGCGAATATACGACGGGTCTAGAACCCTAAACTCTAAACTCTAAACCCTAAACCCTAAACCCTAAACCCTGCATTCGGAGCTTCTGTGCTCGAGCCCCGAACACACATGGAGCCCAGACCATGGCAGCAAAGGCAGCGGGGGCTACTTGGAGGTTCTTGAGACTTATTGACCAATTATAACTGTAATTAGAACCCACTTATAAGCCCCTTGAGGGGCCCTAATATGGTTATAAATACAGTAATAAGTACAGTTATAAGTGGTTAATAAGTACCATGAACCTCCAAGTATGAGGGTTCGTCACGACACCCGTGCAGTCTTTGGGGTGTCTTTAGGCTTATAGGGTCTTTAGGCTTATAACCGTGTTAGGCGTACAGGGCTTATGATGTGTGTATACATGTGTATATGTATATATATATATATGTATTATGAAGGGTTTCCTTCGCCCAACCCCCAAAACTCTAAACCCTAAACCCCAAGACCTGAAAACCCTGAAACCTACCCCCTGAGCCTCGAAACCCAAACCCCAAACCCAAAACCCGAGCTTGAAAAATGTTCCCCTAAACCCTAAACCCTGAACCCCCCTAACCCCCTGAACCCAGCAACCGCGAGAGGGGGGGAGGGCCTCAGTGGTGATCTCGGCCCCGGGAACCAAGCAAGCCACCTTTCCCAGCTTGGGGTGTGGGGTCCGAGAGGTTTAGGGTTTAGGGTAACCCTAAACCCTAAACCCTAAACCCTAAACCCTAAACCGTAAACCCTAAACCCTAAACCCTAAACCCTAAACCCTAAACCCTAAATCCAAACCCCAAACCCTTTGGAGTTTGGGGAACATGGAGAAGAGCTTAGGGCTGCTTTCAGAGGACGTATATAGAGGGAGATATAAGGTACTGCACCTAGGTACCTCATCCCCTGCTAGGCACTTAGAAGAGCCCTGAACCCCAAGCCGAATCAAGGGCTCAGGGCACCCTAAGACCTCTTCCCTCAACCCTAAACCCCTTTATCTAGGGTTTAGGGCTCAGAGTTTTAGCCCCTCTGTTCAGAACTCTGAAGAAAGGTGGATTGGAAAAAACCCTCAACCCTATGAACACCCCTAAACCTGAAGCCAGACGTTTCAGCCTAAACCCTAAAACCTAAACCCTAAACCCTAAACCCTAAACCCTAAACCCTGCAGTAAAGCCCTGAACCCCAAAACCCTAAACCCTGGAGCTCTGAACCTCAGGCTTGCGCTTGAGGGAGTGTCCGTGCCCACGTGGGGTTTCAAGGCATCGTCTTTTAGACCTATAGGGTTTAGGGTTTAGGGTTTAGGCTTTAGGGTTCAGGGTTTAGGGTTCAGGGTTTAGGGTTTAGGGATGCATCGGGTAACACCAAAGGCACAAACCCCAAACCTGAATCGCCTGGAAGCCGCTACATGATCAACATCCCTAAACCCTGACCCTAAACACCTCACCCCAAAGCCTGAACTGAACCATTTAATTAAACCCTAAACCCCTCAACCCCTAAATCCTAAACCCTGAACCCTAAACACAACTAAAGCCTGAACTGAACCATTAATTAAACTCTAAACCCTTCAACCCCTCTACACCCTTCAACCCCTAAATCCTGAAACCCTAAGCCCCCAAGGAGTTGGGGAGCCACCAGCTGATCCAAGTTGGGAAGCGGTGCTTTCGCCACCTCCGATTGGGGTTTAGGGCTTAAGGTTTAGGGTTTGGGGTTTAGGGTTTAGGGCTTAGGGCCTAGGGCCTAGGGTTTAGGGTTTCGGGTTTAGGGTTTAGGGTTTGGGGTTTAGGGTTTAGGGTTTAGGGTTTAGGGTTTCGGGTTTAGGGTTCAGGGTTTGGGCTCGCACTCTAAGAGGGCTTCGAGATGAAGATTTCGGGTTTAGTAGTCTGAGGTTGGAACCATGGACCCTGAGTATGGTCAACCCTAAACCCTAAACCCTGTTTACAGGAATTTCGGGTTTTAGGGTTTCTAAGGCTTTGAGCCCCAGTTGTTATGTATAGTGTTCATAAGGGTTATGTAACAACAGGGACCCAGGTTGGGGGCCCCTACTTCGGATCCCCTTAGAAAGCTGCCTCATTTCAGGGAAGCTGAGTGGTTTTTGGCACGACTCGAAAATTGACACCGTTTAGGGTTGAGGATTGAGGGTTTGCCCAAAAGCCCCATACCCCTTATGCAAGGAAGATACCCTAGGTCATAAGAAAGTTCCCTGCGCAATTTAAGGTACTAAACCCTAACCCTAAACCCTAATATTCTAAATTAAGGGAGGCTTTGGGGCTGCTCGTCGGGTAGCTCTCAGCTCTCTCTCCCCCCCCCCCCCCCCGACCCCGGGTGCTCCTTGAGAAGAAGCGACGGCTCCGTCGAGTAGAAGGGTTTCTGTGCAGGCATGCGCCTCGGGAGGAAAGAGCCCCCTCAACCCTAAACCCTAAACCCTGAACCCTAAACTGGCCATGAGGCTGAGGTCTTGGGTATCAGGGTCGAGATTCTCAGAAGGGCGTACAGCAGAGTAAGTAGAAATATGGCTTCTTGAGGATATACCCTTAAACCCTAAACCCTAAACCCTAAACCCTAGACCCTAGACCCTAAACCCTAAACCCTTGAACTCGAAACCCTTAGCCCCGAAACCGCAGACCTGGCCTGGAGTTTGCTGCGCCGTCTGCTGAAACTTTGTCAGCACCTGCTGCCATCTGAGAATTAGATTTGTTCAGGGTTTAGGGTCCAGGGTTCAGGGTTTAGGGTTTAGGGTTCAGGATGTATTCTCAGTATGAGCATCCGTTTAGACAAGAATATTCCCTTGTGTGGTCTATGTTGTGCGTGTTTCAGGCGTTCATTGGCTTCTGTTGTTATCTTTCGACGTTGCTCACCCCTACCACCCACCACCCCACCCACCGCCCCTACTACCACCTGACCTACAACCTACCATCTACCACTCCGACCACTTGGGGTTCCAGGGGTGGGGGTGGGTTGTGGGGTTCGGGGGCTGATGGTGGGCTCGGGGTCTAGGGGTGGTAGGGGGGGGGGGGGGGGGGGGGGGGGGGGGCGGGGTTGAAAAGCGTCACCGTTGTGTTATGCATTCATCTAACTGTTTGTCGGCTAGGGCTGTCACTAATTGCCTTGCTTCTTTAGATATATGCTCTTGTGTTTTTAGACCGTTCTTCAAGTATGTGTGCATTTGCTATTTTAGTGCGTTCTTGAATATGTCGCTCGCTAGGTTATTATGTCCTTCTCTTGTTCTCTCTCTATCTCTGTGTCGTTACTTCGCTTTAGTTACTTCTTTCGTTCTTTATTCACATTTCTGTTGCAGCTCGCTCTTTAGTTGTATGTTCCTTCAGTTGTTCATGTCGGGAGGCATTGCGTAATGCCGTGTTTCTCTCCTTGTGCCTTTCTGTATTTGTTTATGCCATTCTTTCTTCATGAATGTTCTTGCG